GAGGGAATGCGAGGCTACGCCCGCTTAGCCCCTACGGGGCCCTATCTGCAACAAGGTCGGCCGCCCTAAGTGAAGGCAGGCACGACAGGCCCTTCGGGCCTCGTTCTTCAGGGTACCCCGCATTGGGGAAATTCAGACAGTTGCGTTGCGCCAGTTGGTTGAATGAATCCAGGCTCTGGGCCGCCTGTGTAAATGAATGTGAAGCAGGCCCTGGGCTGGATACGGGTACCGGGYCAAACACAGGCCGAAAGCAGTTGGGCGCATGCAACCACTYCAGGCYYAAGKCCTGCTCTCTTCGTGACTGGGCCTGKGCCTACCGGGGCCTACCRGAAGCTTCCTGGACTGGACGCAGGCAGGCCACTTCGATATAGGGAAGGGCCTGCCTCCTCATTCGGCATTCGGGTGCTGGCTGCATGCTGCGTGAGCGCTGCTGYGCAATCYGCTGGYTGGCTGGCACTCACGCTCTCACGRGCGAGTAGGAGGGAGCACGCAGCCATAGCCAAGCTGCGCTGCTGTATGCTASGTGAAGCGCAGGGTGGTCCTTGGGGTGCTAGTGGCATCTGTGCGGTGTGGATCGGGGTTGYGAGTGTTACGAGAGACATAYCWRGTGCTGAAGCGTGCGACATTGGYCGCCATATGCTCGTACTTCRGGAACGCTGTTGATGTCATCATTCTGCTTCGTAGTATAGGCTAGATAGGATCTGCCACCTGTAGTCTGGGCGTCGAGCGCCAATAGGATATCAACTCTGGTTCGTAGTTGATGATGATGGGACTACTTCAGCATTGTCAATTTTGAACTCTTGGTGTGTTCTTATTTGGTGTATCTCGTGATGCCAGTCTGCTGTGGTTCGAGGTCAAGACTATCTGGGCTCATATGTATGATGCTGTTTGATTGCTGAAGTTTGCTAATGCTCATCTTCCTTGCACCTACAATCTCTGGAAGAAATTGAAGGAGGAACTAGTTGAGCAAACTACCACAGATCTGGAGCTTAGTGCCATCCTTGAGCAGCTCAAGGTTGACCCCAACAGTCGGCCTGATTTCCGTAAGGGTGAGGGTTTGTTGTTTCGAATTTACGGGAAGCATGACCGTTTGTGTGTACCCAACAATGAGCCCCGCCGCACTCACTTCTTGGATCTGGCTCATGGCCGAACTGGACACTTCAGTTTCGAAAAAACATGCGAAAGTATATTGCAACGGTTTGATTGGTCTGGTATGAAAGGATCTGCACACAAGTTTGTGGTTGGGTATCAAGTATGTCAACAAATAAAGTCATCTAGGCAAAAGCCCTACGGGCTGCTTCATCCCCTACCCATTCCCGATGGTCCCAAAGAGTCAGTTTCTATTGATTTCTCAGATATGGGAAAGCAAGAGTAAGAATGGTTACTCACAAGTGATGGTGATCGTTGACCTCACACCCCAACTTCTGCAATATGGACCCCCCGAGACTCTTGTTAGTGATCAGGATACCCGGTTCATTAGCGCAGTTTGGAAGGATTTCACTAACCAAATCTATGATATGAAGCTCAAAATGACAATTGGTCGTCATCCAAAAGCCAAATGGGTTAGCTGAGGAGATCAACCAAACTGTTACTGAATTTCTCCGCGCTCTTATCATTCCCGATCAGAACACGTGGGATGCAGAATTGCCTATTGTGAGGGGGTTGTAACCGGTGAGATGTAGAGAATTGCCTATTGTGAGGGGGTTGTAACCAGTGGGATGTAGAGAATTGCCTATTGTGAGGAAGTTGTACAACAACTCCATCCACTCTTCCACCGGCATGACACCCATTCGGTTGCATTATGGATGGAAAATACACAATCCTCTATCTTTCTTGTTCCCTGATCAGGCGCCCGGTCTGACACCTGGCCGGCCTGGCTACAACACCATTTACGACCACCTGCTCAAAACTGTTGTCGCGGCAATGAAGAAGCATCGGGCGGCCATACTAAAACATGCTAACAAGCGTCAGCCTGCACCATTCGAAGTGGGAAGTTATGTCTGGGTCAATATGTCTGAGTTCTCCGAAGGAGTGCCGCGTAAACTCCTTCCTCTCTATTATGGCCGTTGGAAGGTGTTGAAGGTAATGGGAGACTATGAATTTGGTCCTTCATGCGTGATTGGCGTGCCTCCTCATCTGTGCAAGTATCCGGTCTTTCACGCGTCCAAACTGTTTTCATATCATGCTCCTGGTTCCTTTCCTTATCGTGACCCTAAAATCCCTCGTGCTATCGATGGCGGTCATGAGATCGACAGGATTGTGCGTCATACTGGTAAGGGACGTAACAGACAATATAAAGTTCACTTTTTGCACCAACCCACCAGATGAATTGTGCTAGATTTCGAAGAAGGAATTGCTGCGAAGCGCACACCGAGTCGTCAAAGCATACGAGCAATACATTATTTCTGATGCACAGCCAAAGATCACTGCGGCTCTCACTGGCACAGCGTATTCCAGATCCCCTCTTTGCAATACACGCCTATGATGCTTTTTGCAGGGACTCTGAGTGAGCTACTCGCTCGAAGGGACCTCGCTCTTGAGGGGGGGGTAGTGTAATGACCTGCCAAAACACAGACTGAGAACACCGCTGACTTCTGAGTTTTGCCGCTGGAATGAATGCCTTGCTGAGACTACCATGTTCTGCTGAGCTTTCTAAGTCTGTGTGTGTTTGTGTGGTTGCTGGTTGTGTGCCTGCCTGAGTGCTTGTCGGTCTGAGTGTGAGTGTAGCCCACCAGGGCACTTGTTTGGAAGGCCCAAGGGGGCAGTACTTACCTGCGGCCATGACTTTGAGGGTTGCAGCGGGGAAAACACTCAAGCAGCAGGAGTAGGCTCGTGACACTTAGAGCATGTGGGAGAAAAAACTCAAGTAGCAGGTAGGCAGGTACCAGAGCATGCGGGGAAAAAAACTCAAGTAGCAGGTAGGCAGGTACCACTCAAGTAGTGGTGGATGTGTCGGGGACTGGAGGCCGAGCAGAAGAAGACGAAAGTTGGCATTTTTAGAGGCCCAGTAGCTGGTAGACTAGGTCTAGGCGGGTACCAGTCCAAGTAGCCTGAGCCTAGGGCCTGTGCGGACGATATCAGAACCTGCAATGATGTTTCCCTCCGAGAGGGAGGAGGTACCGGTTGCTTGGAGGCCGCCCGGCCTGGAAGTCACCGCCCAAGAGGCAGGTAGGCCGCTATATCTTCGTGTAGAGTGCTGGGCTCTACTTCATTTGTGGTATGCAAGGTTGAGTGTCATGCTTCTAGAGCGGGCGCTAGGATTCAGAGCGCCGCTGGAAGGAAGAGCACTGGGCAGACCAGCGCTGGGAGGAGGAAGAAGGTCGGGAGATTCCACCTCGGCTATGGTGGAGCTCTACCAGTAGGAGGAGGAAGAAGGAGACTAGGGAGGAGAGTGGCCAGGTACCTACCTGGCTATGGTGGACGCCATCTTCACCGCCTTGTTAGGCGCTGCATCTGGAAGGCCTCAGTGGGGGTTGCGCCACACCAACGCTTCAAGGCAGAGTCAGGCATGGTGGCCTGAACAGCAGCGGACATAGCTGCTTTGTGTAGGATTTTGCACAGCACGGCCAGCCCCTTAGTAGTCAGCCATAGCCTCGGCCTAAACGAAGAGGAAGGAGGCCATGGCTATGGTGGACCTCTAGTTATGCCAAGCAGTAGAAGTGGGATTCGGACTTTGATTCTGGTTCAGCCATTCATCATTATCATTATTTATTGTTTGAATAAGAGTGGAGGCGGCAAGGAGGAGTTGACTGTCGAGCGAAGGAGGGATTATCAATGGTCTTTTGCTGGTGTACATCTTCTTCTTCTTCTTCCTTTCTTCTTCTTCTATATGTCCCTCCCCTCAAGTTCATTCATTTCCTTTGCAATTGGATGGCATCGTGCTTTCTCGTGAATTTTGCAATTCGAATCGGCCAGGATTGTAACACAAAGCTCTGGACGTGACTGCAGTCAGATTCGTCCAGGTCTGGCCACAATTGCAGTCAGATGCAAGCACATCCAGACCTGGATGAATCTGACTGCAATCTCATCCCGAGCTGTGAACGAAAAGTCATCGTGTATGCACCAATCCGATGCCCCTTTTCCACCCGCCTCTCATGGCAGGGGGCGTAAGGGGTGAGCACATGACAACGTTGAGGAGACCTTTATGTCCCCAGCCATTCCTTCTGCCTGCCAAGTGGCAGGGCAACCGTTTGTGCTTTTTTCCTGTGTAGCACAGCGAACGTGTCCCCGCCCCTCCGCGTTAGCACAAACGGGGGCGAACATAATTTTTTTTCCATTAAAACAATTAAATATTTTTTTTTTCGGTTTTTTTTATTTTTAGGCTAAGAATTTGAACAAGACTCCAAGGCAAAAGTTGCTTGTATTTTTGTTTTACATTACATATATTTTTTTTCAGATTTTTCTGAGATTTTGTTTTTTTAATATCTTTTTATGTTCGCGTTCGGAGGATTTTGGGCGCTCGTTCGCGTTCGGGCGAACATGTTCGTGTTCGCCTCCGTACGCGAACACGATGCTATGCAGGTTCTTCTTTTCCTTGTGTCTGCACCTCCTGCATCCGTGCATGTTTCCACATGCATGGCATGGACCAGCAAGACATCTTGCAGTCCGTTTGCCCCTATTCCTTGGGCCCACCGGCTTCCTCCCTCGTTGAACTACCAGGCCTTCCCCGAGGCCCGTCCGCCTTCTTTTCCTTCCTTTAAAAAGGACAATGGCCTTGCGATATCATCATTGAACTGAGCGGCCCCAGGTCATTCAGAATGGGTTTATTGAACTCTATTCTGGTTATCTGATTGTATCTGGATTCGAACTTGTGTCTGTATTTCAACAGTCATGGGTGTACCAACTGAGCTAGGCCTGTTGGTTGGGTGCCCAAAATTTTTAGGTGAGGCTCAGTCTTGATTCTCAAGTTGGCTGGGGCCATGGACTGGTGGTTTGAACAAAAAATACTACCTCCACAGGATTACGAAGGAGAGGTGGTGGACCAGATGAGCATTCATTACCTGCATTCCTCATGGTTGCCAGAAAGGATGTTCTCCCTGCCACAATACACACGAGGGAGAGAGCAGGTGCATGGGATATGCATGTAGACACCACAATCGAGCGGCACACAGCGCACATTGAGAGCCAACACAAACGCAAACCGACAAAAGTTGAACAGTAACTCTGTCAGTATATGGGCCAGAACACTAACAGTGCAAAATAGACTAAGGACTTCACGAGCTCGCTCTGACGGATGAGCTGAAAGGGTATAGAACTTCACACGAAAGACAAACAACATCGATGACGTCCAAATTGCACCGTACCGGTCTTCCACAAACAAGAACATACCAAACACACGCAACAGTCGCAAACACGTCCTTCGGGACGTCCGTTAGAATTGGAACGATACAGAGAAGATTAGCACGGCCCCTGCGCAAGGATGACTCGCATTAATCGAGAAATGGTCCAATTTTTTATCATAAAGAAATTGAAGAATTAAAAAACAAAAACAAAAAAAAACGGTCGCAAACACCAAAACAACTGAAAGCAAGGAACATTTGACTTTGTGATGGTTCGCATTACAATGCTGTCATGAACTCCAACACTGTAGGACGAACGCAAGAAGAACACGGCCAAGAGTTGGTTGCTTTCACATCTACTCTGCAGACCTCTACCACAGAGCCAGGCAGCGGTACTACAAAAGCAGAGCCGGAAACAGATAACATGCATATAAGCTTCCCTCACGACTGAAGATGCATCGGCCCCATGCAGATAGTTAGTTGCATTCACATCCTATTCTGGAGGCCTCTACCACAGAGCCAGGCGGCGGTACTACAAAAGCGCAGCAGGAAACAGATAAGACTGCAGACGCATATGCTTTCCTCATGACTGAAGATGCATCGCCCCCATGCTTTATGCGCTTGCAATGGTTGCTTCACAGGAACATGAGGACAAACATGGCCTCAAGCCTCCCCCCAGCAAACACAGACAACAGCAATATTATGTTATGGTTGTTAAGAAATAAAAACTTCACGCCAAAGTTTGATTTCGGATTCCAGGAGTCGCAAAATAAAAACTTCACGCCGAAGTTTGATTTCGGATTCCAGGAGTCGCAGGTTTTTGGGTGGTATCTGCTTAGTTGTTCCTTTCTTCATTTTACCTTTTTTGTTTTAGTCCAGTCGCAGGCAATGGTGGGATGCTGGACCCGGTTTCCAGCTCAAGCCCAAAGTCTAAGCTGGGTAATGATGGCCCCAGCACTATCCGGGTTGAGATGTTGAGGAATTCCCGGCCTCATTGATTTTTGCAAGGAAGATGAGCAATAGCGAACTTCAGCAATCAAACAGCATCATACATATGAGTCCAGATAGTCGTGACCTCGAACCAACAGCAGAATTGCATCACGAGATTCACCAAATAAGAAAACACTAAGAGTTCATAATTGATAATGCTGAAATAGTCCCATCATCATCAATGAAGAACCAGAGTTGATATCCTATCTGGCGCTCAGCGCCCAGACTACACGTGGCAGATCCTATCTAGCCTATGATACAATGCCGAAAGATGACGACAACAGCTTTCCCGAAGTACGAGCATACAGCAACCAATGTCGCTCGCTTCCAGCACCAGGTATGTCTCTCGCCTCACTCACAGCCTCGTTCCACAACACACAGATGCCACTAGCACCCAAGGACCACCCTGTGCTACACCCAGCTTACGCAGCTCGGCTATGGCTGCCTGCTCCTTCCCTGCTCGCCCGTGAGCGCGTAGGCGCCAGCCAGCAATTAGCGCAGCAGCGCTTGCGCAGCATGCAGCCAGCACCCGAATAAGGAATGCGGAGGCAGGCCCTTTGCTATATCGAAGTGGCCTGCCTGCGTCCAGTCCCAGGAAGCTTCCAGTAGGCCCCGGTAGCCTAAGGCCCAGCACAAATGAGAACAGGCCTTGTGCCTGAGGTGGTTGCATGCGCCCAACTGCCTTTGGCCTGTGTTCGGCCCAGTACCCGTACCCAGCCCAGGGCCTGCTTTCCATACATTCACACAGGCGCCCCAGCGTCTGGGTTCTCTCAACCAACTGGCGCTGCGCAACTGCCTGAATTTCCTTGAGTTGCGTGGGGACCAAAACAGGGCCCTGAGGGCCTCGTCGAGCCTGCCTTCACTTAGGGCGGCCGACTTGCTTCAGAATGGGGCCATAAGGGGGCTCATAGAGGCATTGGCCTCGCATTTTAATCATTTTATATAATAAAACTGCAGCTTCTTTCTTTTTGAAAAAAATAAATAAAAATCCCGACATCCGAATAGTACATCGTGCGTTCCGCCTTCCAGAAGCTGGTACGGCCATGGATTTTACATTTCCAGAGTCCTCTATTTACCCGTATTTACGTAGGGTGAACATGTTACAAAAAACTGCGAGCTTGAGGGCATATACTCACACGAGGAGTTTTTCCGCAAAGCTCTGGACGTGATTGCAGTCATATTCACCCTGGTCTCACCGTAATTGCAGTCAGAATCATTTTTTTGAGAAGTGCTAGTGTGAGTACGCCCTGAGAAGTTGTACCATAGGACTTTCGAATCTTCTACATGTTCCTATAATTCCCTCCTCCTCTGGCAACTCCAGCAAGACTATCTTCCAGGAGCACGCGCACAGATATCTCCTCAATTGCAAAGGATTTCGATTTTCACCCTTTTTTGAAAAAAAAGGACGACGGCCTTGTGATACCATCATTAAACTGACCGCCCCCAAGTAATTCAGAATTATTTCATTCTGTTCAACTGATTGCATCTCGGTTCGAACTAGGGTTTGCGACGGCTTTCTTTTTTTTCCTTTTTTTTCCTTTTTCGTCTTTTTTCACTTTCTCTTTTTTTTTAATGGGCCGCAGGCGGAGCGGCAAGGCATCAAAAATTTGAAATAAACTGTTTATTTTGTGTGAACAGCCCGCGGTATTCTTTATGCCACATCAACGGCTGAACGCGCAGTCGATTACAATGTGCAGGCTCTCATCATCAAACTACTACCTCGTTTTTTAAACCTACTCAAACCTACCCCACTTCTGCCTTACTACCCGTCTTCCGCTGAACATAACCCATATACATTGTATTCGAGTTTTCGAAAAACAAGGACGACACGAATAGAACGCATATGCGTTGTATTCGAATATCAGGGCAGTTCGAACAGAACACATATGCATTGCATTCGAGTAGAAAAAGGAAACCTACGCGGTGTACTTGTTTACAGCACATATGCGTTATGTTCGGGGGAAGACGGTAGGCCTACTCTGCACCACCAAGAAACAAAGTGAAGAAGGCAAGCGCTCCCCCTCTTACATCATGCGACTCTTCCACTGTTAGTAGATGCCATGGCAGGTCAACCACAAATGGAAAATAGGCCCTATTAGGCAGTAAGCAAAGAGGCACAAAAATCGTGAACACTACTCTTTTTCAATCAAAGATCCTGAACAGGAGGTCCTCTTTAGCAGAGTCTGAGTCCAAAAAATAGACATGACAGACGTGTAAGGGAGGGAGGGTATGGACCAACAGGCCTAGCTCAGTTGGTACACCCCTTAACTGTTGAAAAATACAGACCTGAGTTCGAACTCCACTGGAAGCAGAAGAGTGAAATACTACAATTCTGAATTACCTAGGGCCGGTCTGTTCGATGATAATATCTCAAGGCTGCCAGCCTTTTTCTACAAAGAATAAGGGAGGGAGGTTATGTCCTTTTGGACATTTGTTGAAATTGGAACGACACAGAGAGAGAGAAGATTAGGATGGTCCCTGCACAAGGACGGCACACTTAAATCGAGAAATAGTCCACCTTTAAGGAGGGGGGGGGGACAAACGGGGCATATCAAAGAAGGAATCAGTGACAGAGATTCCAGAACAGGCCCCAATGATGCGATATCTCTGCCGTAAAAAAAGAGCCCGGTCATAAAGATGATCAAGTTCGTGCGCTCCTAGCACACACATAGCAGTAGCTTGGGGGGTGCTGGCCCTTTGTGGAAACACACCTGATGAGCCCACGGATATAGCCAAAGGTTTTCGCAACAAACGGACTGCAGGCCCCTCCGTGGCTGTGGAGATTGTGCTTGGGCATGGTTTGCCTATCGGTACTAGAATTTCATGTTGTGAGATACATGAACTACGAAAAAAAAACGCCATTTGAAAATAGTCTCAATGGCACCTTATATGTAGTTTAAAGATGCTAAACAACAAAGCCATAGCTGACTAAGACAAATACGATGCCCAACCTTCAATGCATTCGTCTGCAGAAGAACGTGCACTTGAGCCTCAGCTACTCTGCGGCAGTTTGTTTCTCTTAAGACAAGATTAGACAAGAAGGAAATTTCCAAAACCTGTTCTATTATTAGCACTGTCGCGATTACAATCAAAGGCAGAACAAGACTGCACATGCCAGGTTTCTTTTTTTTCTTTTTTTTCCTTTTCTTTTCTTTTCATTTCTTTTCTTTTCTTTTTCTCTTTTTTTTTTTTTTTTTTTTTTTTTTTTTTTTTTTTTTTTTCGGTTGTCCATAGCCAGGTTACTGCGAGGAAAATGAGCGACAGCGAACTTCAGAAACCAAGCAGCATCATACACATGAGACCAGATAGTCGTGACCTCGAACCAAAAGCAGAATTGCAACACGAGTTCCACCAAATAAGAGCACCGCAAAAGCTCATAAGTGACAATGTTGGAATAGTCTCATCATCATCAACAAAAAACCAATGTCGACATCCTATCTGGCGTTCTGCGCCGAGACTACAAGTGGCAGATCCTATCGAGCCTATCTACAATGCCACTGGTGACGTCAACAGCTCCCCGAAGTACGAGCAGATCTCGGCGAATGCCGTTCGCCTCAAGCACCAGGTATGTCACTCGTATCACTCACAACCTTGATCCCCCACTCACAGATGCCACATGCACCCAAGGACCACCATGGGCCCCATCCAGCATACAGCAGTGCAGCTCGGCTATGGCTACTTGCTCATCCAGCTCGCCCGTGAGCACGTGTGCGCTGGACTGCGAGCTGGACAGCGTTAGCGCAGCAGCGCTTGCACAGCATGCAGCCAGTGCCCGAATGAGGAGTGCTGGGGCAGGCACTTTCCTAAATGGAAGTGACCTGCCTGCCGCGTGCCGCCTGCCTGCATTGGGCCTCGGTCCAGAAGCTTCCAGTAGGCCCCGTGAGGCTGAGCCCCAGTCCGAACGAATCAAGCCCAGGGCCTGTGGTGGTTTCCTGTGCCCAACTGCCGCAGCCTGTGTTCGGCCCATGTTGCGTATCTGGCCCAGGGCCTGCCTCAGATACATACGAAAAAGGCAGCCAGGGCCTGGGCGCTCTCAACCGACTGGTGCTGAGCAACTGCCTGAATTTCCCCAGTTGCGTGGTGACCCCAAAAATGGGCCTGTAGGCCTTGGTCGAGCCTGCCTTCACTTAGGGCGGCTGACTGTACTGAAAATAGAGCCCAGTAGGGCGTATCGAGGCCTTGGGCCTCGCATTCCCTCCTCCATACTTCGGCAGTCCTCTGAGAAGTAACATTACTCAATCTGGCGCTTTCCTTTCTGCAGTGACTTCTCGTAGTGAGCGACAGCCTGTGGAGCCGTCTGCATCAGTTCCTCCCTGGTAAACCATATGTCCTCCTTAGGATCAGTGTGATGTCTGAACCGAACGAGATACTGCAGCTTCGGCTTAGGAGGACGCCCCCTGCCTGTTGGTCTTGGAACTGGCATTTCCCTGTGGTCCACGATGTCATCGATGTCGACCTCTCCATCCGTGGTTGGGGGCAGCATTGAGCGACGAGAGGGAAACTGATCAGCTTCCTCGAAAGGTGCGAGTTTGGAGGCTTGAAAGACAGGGTAAGTGCGAAGATGACCAGGGATCCGGATTACATAAGATGGCCCATCCGGATCTCCCCCAACAACATCCAGAACATCCCATGGTCCAAAGTACTGTGGCATGAGCTTGCGGGAGATCCCGTGCTCCTGTCTCAGTTTTGAGGACTTTACCCAGACTCTATCCCCTACCTGAAATGTAGAGGGGCGGCGGTGTTTGTTCTCAGACTCTATCATTGTCGCCTGTACCTTATGCATCTGTTCTACTTCCTGCTGCATCAGTTGTTCATAACGATAGGCAAATTCAAGTGTGCCCGGTGCAGCATTTGGCTGGTTGTCAGGTAGTAGAAAGTCTAGGGGCAGTCTAGGCTTGAAAGTCAGTAGCAGACTGTTAGGGCTTACCCCAGTAGCGCTGTGCACAGCATTGTTGTACAGGCTGGCAATGAGAGCAAGTTTCTCATCCCAGTCCACCTGATTGGGCTTAATGCAGTGCCGCAACAGGTGTTGTACAGCGCGGTTCAGCTGCTCTGCTTGGCCATTTGCCTCTGGGTGGTTCCCAGAAGTCATCTGCAGCTGTGTTTCCTGTGCTGCAGCTGCAGCCTTCCACAAAGCACTGGTGAATCTGGCATCCCTGTCACTCACAATAGTGTTATGATTCTGGTTGTTTGTTGTCTGAAGACCAACATACACAAAAGGAAGGGGAGAGGATAGGAGTATCACACCGCACAGGGAAAGATAAACACAGCGGAAGACTTGACCATGCGATATGACAGGGTACACTGAAAGTGCAATTCACTCCACTCAATCCTCACAACCAGTCGTAAAGAAAAGCCGAGTAGATCACATCCAGGAAAACAATGAAACGATGATAGTCCAAACCCAGTATTAAACTGTTTATTAAACTCAAGAGTCTCAAATTGTCAGAATAACTTCAGATCTACAGTGTGCTGCTCAGAAATGAGCAGCGTTTCACTCCCCAACCCTGAGTAACCACTTGTGACACCCCTGAGCCCCCTGAAACATCAAGCGCCACCCAGATACAGCCTCCAAAGGGAAGCGCCACTCTGAAACAGGCCTCTGAGGCCAAGCGCCACTCAGAGGAAGAAGAAGAAGACCAGCGCCACAGTATCTGATGATGACGAAGTGTCGGAAGACTTCCCGGATAGAAGTCTGCAACAGCGCCACCAAATCCTGACAAGATGACCTCTGAGGAAGAAGCTGCAGCTATGGCTGCAGCACCGCAACCCTGGAGCCCCACTCCGGAGGAGGGTCCAGCAGGGCACCAACTTCCCTCGCCTCCAGCAGACCTCTGACAGCCCCTACGTGCTGGCAGAGTACAGCGCAGGTCCCAGCTATGGCCGGCGCTCCGAAGGTCTGGCTACGCCTGTCTCCTTCCACGCTGAGCCGTCACCACTTCCGGTTCACGCGTAGCGCAGCAGTGATGTACTCGGTACCAACTGCCAAAAGCCCTGAACCGATGTGCCCATCCTATCAATAGACTAAACTAGCCTAGACTCGACCTAGACCGGACTGACTGACCGACTGGTACCGTTTCTGTTTCGGCCTCTAGGGCCTCTCCCAACCCGGCTATAGGCTATAGGACCGTCTATCAGCTTAGGCCCTTCGGGCCTGTCTGTCCTAGAGGTAGCCCGGGCCTGCGATTCGCAGTTAGGATAACTGTAGGGAATTGTGTTAGTACGGGCCTATACTTTCCCGAACTTATAAATATGTCCCTCACGAATTTCCTTACAGGCAGGTCTCTCGGTTAGCCCTCAGCCAAACAAAATTACGAATCTAACCTAAGACGCGACCCGACCGAGGCAAGCCCCAAGCTTCACCCTCGGCCCAATGTACAGTCCACTGAGAATCTGCAGGCTTCATTACAATAGACTTTGGAAGCCGACAGTCTCTGACCCAGTTCTCTTTGAACAGCTTGATAACATACTCAGTCTTAGCTGTAGCAGGCATTGCAACTAATCCAGCATACTTACTAAACCTAACCACAATGACATAGATATATCTCATTCCACTCTTGCTGGTGACCAGTGTGTCCATGAAATCCATAGACAGGCTCTCACCAGGCCTTTCCAGAATCGGAAGGGGCTTGAGAAGCCCAAGAGGGGCCTGCGTATGTGGCTTGTCTCTCTGACACACCTGAGAAGTCTCCACGTACAGCTTCGCATCTTTCATCATTGTGGGCCACCAGAACCACTGCAACAGATTTGCTGCAGTCTTCCTATACCCAAAATGCCCGGTGGCATCATGACATTCGCCTAAAAATAAACTACCCAAAGACTCCTGATTTGGAACACACGTGTTTATTCCCGGCCTTCTCAAGGAACAGCAGGCCATTGACCAACACAAACTCATCAGCAGTTGCTTTGTCTTTTGCCTCGAGTCTGCGTATGATCTCGGCCATAAATAGATCCTCGTGATAGGCTTCCACCAAAGACTGAGTAACATCGTCCGCAAGCCCAAATTCAGTGACCAGCGCACCCATGAAGTCTCTGGCCTACGCGACAGCGCATCAGCAACCTTGTTGTACTCCCCCTTGATGTACTGGGGCTCAAAGTCATATTGCTCTATGACTTTGATCCATCGCTTCAGAGCATCGGAGAGTAATGCTTGAGTCTTCATCCACCTCAAGGTCTTGTGATCAGTCCGGACGTAGAAGAAGCGACCAAGGAGGTAGTGCGTCCAGTGAGTCAACGCTTTGTAGATCGTGTCGAGTTCCTTCTCATAAGTGGACTTGGCCAGCTTTTGAGAGGGCATCTTTTTGGACATTTACTCTACCGGCCTTAACTTTTTCCCCTCCTGCTGCGCAAGTACAGCACCAATGCCATATTGGCTGGCATCCGTGGTCACAACAAATGGCTTGTCAGGATCGGGCAGTTTCAAGACCTCATGGTGAGTGAGGGCATGCTTCAGATGTCTGAAAGCAGCGTCACACTTGTCTGTCCACTCCCAAGGGGTGTCAAGGCGTGTCAGGTCCGTCAACGGGGCGGCCACTATGCTATAGTTCTTGACAAAATTACGGTAGTAGCCGGTCATCCCCAAGAAGGACCTCATCTCAATCACAAACTGAGGACACGGCCAGTCACGAATGCTGGCCACCTTCGCGTCATCGGGCTTCAATCCCTCCGTGGAAATCTCATGACCCAAGTACAAGATCCGGGTGCGGCCAAACTTACACTTCTCCCCCTTGATCTTGAACTGGTGCTGTCGAAGGAGGCTAAGGACTTTGTCTAAATGGCCAACGTGCTCCTCGACAGTCCTACTGAAAATAAGTATGTCATCGAGGTACACTATGACAAACTTATCCAAGTAGTCATGAAAAATCCGATTCATTGCATGCTGAAAGGTGCCAGGAGCATTGCAAGGACCGAAAGGCATCACCACAAACTCGTACCGACCGTACCTGGTCTTAAAAGCGGTTTTGTGTTGATCCTCGGGCCGGATTGCAATCTGATGGTACCCGGACTTCAGATCTATTTTACTGAAGTACCGGCACCCTTGCACTCGGTCCAACAAGTCATCGATGCGCAGTAGGGGCTCTGCGTTCTTCACAGTGATGGCATTGAGGCCCCTATAGTCAATGCACATCCTCAAGGTCCCCCCCCTCTTCGGTACAAATAAGACTGGTGATCCATAAGAGGAGACACTAGGCCGAATCCAACCCTTCTCTATGAGTTCCTTGAGCCGTCGACGAAGCTCATCGAGATCAGTTGGAAACATCCGATAGATCCTACCCTTCGGAATACTAGATCCTGGGATAATCTCTATCGTGTGGACGACCTCCCTCTCAACAACTCCTGTCGGCTGTTCAAATAGATCAGGGTACTTAGCGACTACTCCATCTATCTCCGGCGGCATTTTCACCGGCTCGCCTGTTGCAGAAACATAAACCAAGTACATACCATCCTCCGGATTTTGCTTATAATAATTGTAAAACGCGGTCGCACACATGCATCCGTAGGACTCAATCAGACTACTAGCCTTAAACTTACGTAATTTGGTGGTCCCCTCGTCGGACAAAGTGTGTTTAACCACTTTTCAGTCCTAGTCAAACTAGGGTTGTGCAACCAAAAGATAGTACATACCTAACAGAATGTCCATTGGGAGATCATCGCTAACTAGGAACAAGACTCGATGTCTCAGTTCCCCTCCCGCGTACGGGAAAAGATACTCAACGTCTTTAAGGTAGTCATTGACTACCATGCGTTGTTTGTTGGCACAGGTCGACTCCACAATTCGACTCAGGCGCTACACTTGCCCCTGTAATCACAGCCTCTCAACGCACGCGCGATGAATGAAATTCCACGTCGAGCAAGTGTCATAATAGGCCCCGGCCTTGCAGCCGCCGATGACTACCTCGCCGACGAATAACTCACCCTTAAGGGCTTTGTCCATAGCCGTCCAAGAAGCTAGCGGGTCCGATCTAGACCACTCCTCCTCTAGCTCCATAAGGACTCAAACACATTCAACGAACAGAGGATCGCCGGGTCCGAATGTGTTTGCGGGATGGCTACAAAGTCAGTAGCTTGGGCCATCTCTCGAGATTGTGAGGGTGTGTCCACCACCTCGACCCTAGCAGGAACAACTACTATTCCTACTGGCCCGACGTGTTTCTCGGAGCAGTTCCAGAACTACTGGCAACATTGCTACATACGGGAGCTGAGGAACCCAACGCCTGCCCCATTGTAGGCGGGATCTTTTTGGTCACCTTCTTATTTCGGCACTTGAACTGATTATGGCCATATTGGCCACAACGGATACAAGCCCGCCGAGTGTACCGATCTCTCCACACGTCCTCAGTGAGACCTGCTTTCTCCCATGGAGGAGCGTTGGGGTCAACTTGACTCCTAGATCGGGAGCCTCCTCGGCGTCTACCGGTCACCTTACCTTTTTGCACTGTGGCAGCGACTACTGCACCCCCTGAAGCTTCTACGCTGCCCGCCTCTGAACCTACTCCTTCCTGGAAGTTGTCGTCCAACTCAATGGTTGAGCCATCGTTGTCGACGAACATAATACGGCCCTTCGCCTTCCAGTTGGTAGGCAGTGACTTCTTTCTTCCATCCGTTGTGGGTTGGTGCCCATGCCCTATCTTAGCATCTAGGGCCTTCTTGCTAAACAAAGGGAAGTTGTGTACATTGATGTTTGCCTCGCCCGCCAACTGATTCCTGAGTGGCATAGGGAGACATCTCAGCTAAGTGGTTAGCAAGACCTGGGCGTCATAGCGCACTCCAAGTACACAGATAAGACGCTCTACTGCGTTTGTGGCATCCCTTACTGACTTGAACGGTCTATTGCTCAGAGTCAGGATAGCATCAGTGGCCTTTTGGGCCTCCTGAAGATCATGCCACCTCTCCTCCTCCATCTTCAGGAAGTCTTCCAGTTTCTGGTTGACTGCCCAAGCGTGGAAGTCATGTCCATATCCCTTTGCACTAGCCCGCTTAACCATCGTGTTGCACTCCCCTCAAGATAGGAGGCAGCCACAAGCATTTCCTCGTGTGGCAAAGTTAACTTGCACTTAACATAGACCGGCACTGACCTCAACCATGGTCTTCGCCCCTCTTGTCCCCTGAAAAGGGTTTGGGTGAGGCGATGGCGGTCTTTGGAACCCACTGGCCTTGCCCGGGTACATGCCCCACTCCGGGCTGTGGACCTTGGGGCGCAGGTTGCTGCACTAACGGTTGTTGGGGTTGTGTGCCCAGCTATTGTGTTGGCTGCGAGACAGCAGGCGGCCCAGTCACGGCAACTTGCGACGGAGGTTGGGAATACATTGTCTGTACCGGAATCTGTACACTAGGAGCTGCTGAGAACCCTCCAGTCAAAGGCATTCCTAGGGAAGCGGCCTGTACTGATGTTGGAGCTATGTATGGGGATACCCCAGTCACCGGTGGGACAGAAGGAGGWGGTTGTACCACGGGCCAGGCACCGGGCCCTGATGGTGATGGTGTCGCCTGCGCTCGCCCGACCAGCACGGCCAGGCTCTGCTAGATGTCCTGTAAGAGCGCCATTTGGTGATCCTGCATTTCTACCACATCTAGCAAGACCGTCCTCAGGGTCCTCACATTGTCATCCACGTTCATCAGGTTCATCTCCTCTAACTCACTAATGTCCGCTTGTCTCCGCTGCATCCTTGCTCTTCTCCTAATCATTCTCTCTTTCTCTGCCTTTATCTCCCCTAAAGCCTTTTGTAGTTGTGCCTCCTGAGCATCTGCTTGTCGTATGGCAATCTCTTTGGGAGTCAGAACTAACGGTTGGCTTGCCATGACGCCAATGGACTGACTCAGGGTCTGTGTGACCGTTGACCCTACAGTTCTTGAACTACTAGCCTACAAGCTCTGCTGCGCAGCAGTTGCCATGGCTGCTGAAGTAGGGGCTTCGCTTGCGAATGCCCTGCTTGCCTCTACGGCCCTAGCTCTTCGCTGCTGCTGCTGCCTCTCTCTGCTAGCGACACAGGACTTTGTCGCCCTCTGGTCCTAATGCCAAGCGGGCTATTGGGCACCTCACTGATCGCAGGATCCTGTCGTCCTCCCTAGTTTCCTCTCTGTCGCTCATAAGCTACAGAACTGGACACGATCTGCACTAGGTCACTCACTCGATGCCTACCGCAGTGTCATGCACAGACCGATTTAAAAATAAATAACTTAATTAAACGGTGGCTATTTCGGAGTCTACACATTCGGGTCCAACAGGTAAGTTCAGATTCCTACAAACGAAATTATTTTTACTTAATTAGTCCACGAACACAAAGCAGATTTTTATCTAATGTTGTCTGTCGGATGTCAATGGCAGTCCATCTGACTAATCAAAATAAAAATAGAATTGTCTGCGTGGATATTTGCAGAGTGGAATTGAACACGAACTTGTCTCCTGGAATCTACCCCTCCCTCAATTCCTCTTGATGGTCACTTGACGTCAGCATCTCTGAGCGATCCAAAACAGCGTGTGTATCTAAAGGTGTGCACACGGCCCACCCCTGTGCCCCGAGTGTATGTTGAGCTGGCCAGCCCTGCACTATTTTTATCCTCGCGTGCAGCGAGCCTTACACCGACCGATTGGCTGATCAGGAGGCGTTTTAGGACGGCCCCCGAAGTCCTCAGGAATTATTTAACGTCGCAGACAGGAAGACGATCACAGCCAACGGAAGGTMCCCCGCCGGTGCTTATTTATAGACGCCCGGTACTCGTCTCCACTGTAGGGCTGGCCTGCCCCTCATCACCCATCTATCAGCGCAGCAGGCAGACAAAGGACAAAGCAGCAAAGCACGCGTGCTCTACTCCCAGTGGGTTGGCATGGTGACCGTGACCCAATGCTTCGTCCAAGGCCCTTCAGATAGCTCCGCCCTCTCCTTCCAGATGCTCCACGTGAACAATGCCGACTCTCACGGTTGAGCGCACTCGACTCCTCACATGAGAGGACTCTCAAGACAGAACACACATTCTCACAGTAAGAAGTGTCAAAGAGGGTAGATAAGGTTAGCTGCAACGTACCTCAAAATAGCTGCCCCCAACCACAGATATTCTCACCAGATGACCTGATGCCGACTGTGATGACCAATCGCTGCTTCGACACAACCAGCATTACACTGCCGTTCCACTTCAGCACCAATCGCACATCAGATAGTTCTCATCACACTGCGAACACCCACCATTCACCAAGTAGCCTTCCTGGCGATACCCCTCACATCCTGGGTCGCCCTACTTGCCTTCGCCCTCCTCACTACACACTCCCTACGGCCACTCGCCCAGCAGACCGCATGCATGTACCACAGAGGCAGAAGACAAGTGCCAGATTAGCGCACCGTACCACATCTCCGATACCAAATTGCAAGAAAAATGAGCAATAGCAAACTTCAGAAACCAAGCAGCATCATACACATGAGACCAGATAGTCGTGACCTCGAACCAAAAGCAGAATTGCAACACGAGTTCCACCAAATAAGANCCAAGCAGCATCATACACATGAGACCAGATAGTCGTGACCTCGAACCAAAAGCAGAATTGCAACACGAGTTCCACCAAATAAGAGCACCGCAAAAACTCAATAAGTGACAATGTTGGAATAGTCTCATCGTCATCAACAAAGAACCAATGTCGACATCCTATCTGGCGCTCTGCGCCCAGACTACAAGTGGCAGATCCTATCTAGCCTATCTACAATGTCGCTGGTGATGTCAACAGCTCCCCAAAGTACAAGCAGATCTCGGCCAATGCCGTTCGCCTGAAGCACCAGGTATGTCTGTCGTATCACTCACAACCTCGATCCCCCACTCACAGATGCCACATGCACCCAAGGACCACCATGCGCCCCATCCAGCATACAGCAGCGCAAGGACCACGTTCGGCTATGGTTGCCTGCTCATCCAGCTCGCCCGTGAGCGCGTCAGCGCTGGACAGCGTTAGCGCAGCAGCGCTTGCGCAGCATGCAGCAAGCGCCCGAATGAGGAGTGCTGGGGCAGGCACTTTCCTAAATGGGAAGTGGCCTGCCTGCTTCGTGCGGCCTGCCTGCATTGGGCCTCGGTCCAGAAGCTTCCGGTAGGCCCTGTGAGGCTGAGCCCCAGTCCGAACGAATCAAGCCCAGGGCCTGTGGTGGTTTCCTGTGCCCAACTGCCCGCAGCCTGTGTTCGGCCCATGTTGCGTATCTGGCCCAGGGCCTGCCTCAGGTACCTACGACAAAGGCAGCCTGGGCCTGGGCGCTCTCAACCAACTGGCGCTGCGCAACTGCCTGAATTTCCCCAGTTGCGTGGTGACCCCAAAAATGGGCCTGTAGGCCTTGGTCGAGCCTGCCTTCACTTAGGGCGGCCGACTGTACTGAAAATAGGGCCCAGTAGGGCGTATCGAGGCCTTGAGCCTCGCATTACCATGATGTCTCCTACAACACACACTGCACTAAGCTAATACCCACATCACCAACGTCAATGCGCAGCCTAAATCCTGTGGCCGACAGATGTAGAAAGGTGAGCGGTAAGGAGGCTCACTCGATCATCATACATGTCCCAGGCTCACTACTGATTGGTGTGTTGTACACAAAAAAGCACAGCCAAAGCTGCTACAACACCCCTCCTACTGTTATGCACCCTCCTACCATGACACTGGAGGCAGGCATCATGGCAATGGTTCCATCGAGAGGGCCACTGCTACAGTCAATACAACTTGTTGCACAGAGAAATAGAAAAGCATTACAAGCCGCGAACAAAACCAAGAAACAGAGTCACGAACAAAGGCAAGAAACAGAGCCACGAACAAAGGCAAGAAACAAACAGCATTCGGGGAAGGGGGGGTAGGGAAGAGAGAAGGGGTTCTGAAAAAGGGGTGGCATGTGAAGGAACGTGCACTTTCTGCAACTTGTACAACGCTGCAGCACGTGAACAGAAATGGGAACGCACCCTAGACTCCACACTACCATCTTCACCCGAAATAAATGCCTGGTCATCACCGCTGCATCTGGACTGAAAGTTGCCCCTTATAGTGACCGGGCGTTATATTCAGATGAAGACGGTAGTCCATAGCCCATCTTAATTGCATGGTCACCGGTGGGCAGTCCTTACCTCTTTTTCCACAAACGTCAGGATCTGTGTGTGACGTGTAACAATGATCAGAGCAAGCGGGGACCCATGGAGAGACAGCCATATACTTCGAATCTGCATGCCACAGTGCCAGATATAGGAACAGAGTGCACAGTCAACACTTGTGTACCAGAATCAACGACATTTATGTACCATACCTATGGCCTTCCCATGCAGAGCAAGCACTCCTGACTAGATAGATAGAAAAAACTTCAAAAAAGCCCAAAATCATCGCCATGCATAATCATCGACCACTTGAGACTCAGAGACTGATAGAGGATAAGCGAGACACAGAGCATACTCACACTAGATCCTTTTCCACTTCTCTGCGGACGTAATTGTGGTCAGGTGCATCCACGCCACGTCGGAGAAGCGGTCTTATACATCCAGGAAAGTCCTAGTG